CACTGCCTGATGGAGCTAGTTTGGTGATAGAGATTGTGTTGTCAGTACAGGTACTGCTGGCACCCACCACGCACCCCCCAGGAGGTGCCAAGTGTAGTGGCAGGTGTCTGATTTTGGGCAAAAAAACCGGGCAGTACCCGGGCACTGTGGGTGCCGCCCCACTTCCCTAACATAGGGTGGGGAGGTGGGGGGGCTGCATATTTTACAATAAATATGAAAAAAATGAGAAAATTTACTAAACTTTCAACAGTAATTCATATCCAGTACTAGATATGCAGTATTTTTTTAATTTTTTTTTTGTTATTATAGTGTGAAGAAGTCAAAAAACAGCACATCCAGTTTCATTTTACCACATATCCAGTACGGGAGATGAAGTAATGTTGAGAGTGCAAGCTTCAGCATTCCTTTTTGAAAGAAATAAACTAGACTCGAGAACACATGGCTGAGACTGCTTCTCCTGATCCCTTCCAGGTCAATGGTCTCTGCTGCTGCTTCTTGTCAGAGGCTCTTCTGGAGACCAAGAGAGGGATGAAAACCTCTGCCAAGGCCGTACAGGTCTCAAGGCCAAGAGGGGTTCCTCTTGGCCTTGATACTGTACAAAATCTAGCCATGTACAGTCTCAAGGCCAGGAGGAACCCCTCCCAGCCTCAAGACTGTACAATCTTTTGGGGCTGGGGAGCGCCGGGTCTTTTTTTTTTCAACGGCCTCAAGCCTAACATTTCCTTCAGGTCTATGAGGTTTAAAAACCCCATTAACTGGAAGGAATTCCTTCCGGTGGATGAAGCCCATAGACCCCTCCACCACCCGCAGGTACCCGCCCAGGTACCCACCCTGGCAGACCTGGCGGGTGCGGGTGCTGGTGTGGGTGCCCAAAAAATAAGATTTATGAGGTGGGTACCCGGGTACCAAGTGACATCTCTACTCTGTTCAGAACTAGAGATTTCAGCAGGAAAGGGACCCAGAAGTGGGTACCCAGTACCTGTTTTCCAAAGCAAGTACCTGGAAACAGGTTCTGGGTGTTAGAGATGTCAGCAGGTACGCAGAAGCGGGTACCCAGTACCTGTTTTCCAAGGCAAGTATCCAGAAACAGGTGCTGGGTGTGGGTGCGGGTGTTGATATATGAGGTGAAAAAACAGGTGGGTACCCAGACCAGGTACCTGTTCACGTGGTAATTTTCATCAACACCAGGATAAATAAGAAATGGATTACATGCTTGAAGCTGATTTATTTTAAGGATGAGAGAAAAGAATACAAGTGTTTGATCATTGGTTTGCAAACATACACATATTCATAGAGCTTTTACCAACACAAATACCTGGAATCTGTGGTGGTGCAATTGATATATTTCATAAATGTATACGTGGTATTTGAATGTTTAAAAAAGGAGGAAGAGATTGGCCATGAAGGGATTGGAATGGAAAAAAATGAATGTGCAAACAAAAAAAATAAGAGTAGAAGGAAGAGAGAAGGTATTTGGAAAAATGAGGGAACACATTTTTCTTTTTGCGGGTAATTTGTTTTGTAATGGTGATGAAACCAATTTGAAAGAATTATTGAACAAAACAAGGGATGAAGGAAAATTTTAAGAGAGAGAGAGAGATAGAAAACAAAGAAAGGAAGGCAGAGAAAGACAGAATGCTCTAGCGAGGGCAGTGTGTGCACGAGGTGCGATGACAATAGTGCGTGGCACAGAATGGGAAGAGTCTGACTGTCGAAGTCAGTGACTGTGAGATGAGATGGACAGAAGTATGTATTTTCCGTGAAGCATAAGAGAGAGAGAAGAGAAACAAACAGTCGACAGGCAGCAGTCTTATAAGTACAAATATTTGGCTATTCCTTTGTAAGCATATAGATAAAGGAAAAGAGAACACGCTTGGCATTTGAGTATATGAGAAAACAGAGGGAAGAGAGGCAAGCAGTAACAATAACAAAGATCAGTTCAGTACTTGAAAGGGTTTTGTTTGTGTGTTGAGTCTGAGAAGCTGAGGCTGATTTCGGTCTGATTGAGAGTAAATGTTGAGTCAGTAAGAGCAGTTTTGAGTTGAGGAAGTACATCGATGTGGAAATGGAGAAAGCGCGGAGTGTGTGAATAGTTCTGAGTATGAGAAAGGACTGAGGAAGTACCTGACTTCCGGACTGTGGTTGTAACAAATGCAAATGGAGCTTTAGAAAGAAAAGGCATGAGAGTTAGAAGAATTGGAAGAAGCCAAATAAGAGGAGGAAGAGGCAGAGGAAAGAGAAGATGAGGTGCAGTAGAATAGTTTGTTTTTAATTTATTTCTATGTTACTCATATATCTAGTCAATTTCAGTCATATATTTAGTCATGCAGCAATACAAGGGTGAGATGTCTGGTCTTATTTTCCAGCAAAAAATCCTTAACACCCGCAGGTACCCGCCCCAGGTACCCACCCTGGAGGGTGTGGGTGCAGGTGTGGGTGTCCACAATACTGGATTTTTGAGGTGGGTACCCGGGTATGAAGTGGCATCTCTATTCAGAACCACTTGGTGTACAAAAGAGTTTTTCCTGAGTTGGATGTCATAGTGGAGTGCAGCCATGAAGATTTCCTTTGAATTGATTTGTGCACTAAGAGCCAACCAGCCAATGTTGGAAATGTTCAAACATCTTCAAGTAACAGCTGGAAGTTTCTGTTGGATTTGTGGATATGCATATCCATTATAGTATGCTTCCATTACAGTTATGCATTTTGGCTTTGTATTTAGTTCTCCTGATATCAGACTCAGGAGCTCTTTCTGCATTGAATACAAACCACATTAGTTCTTATTGTCAGCTCCCTAGTCACAAGACATAGTCTGTGACATTCAGTCCCTGCGACCCTGTGCCCCTCAACAGGTTATGATCCCATGTTGCTCTAGCTCCAACTTCCTTTCCAGCCAATCAACAATCAACCATCTCCACTTGACAAACAACTCGCTTTGATCATCATGCCCTACAGACTAACTCAAAACCCCTCGCCGCTTATCCCCTCGGTTCCCCAACTAGATGGAAACTCGGTCGTTTTTCCGGCGTGGCGTGCACGGCTTGAAGATGTGCTTGCCATCCAGGGGGTGTTAGACATAGTTCAAGGGAAGGTTCCTCGGCCAAAGGCCGAGTCGATGGATGCTAAACCCACAGTCCGCACCGAGAAAGGTTACAACCCAGAAGAGTTCCGCACCAATTGGGACACTCTATCGGATATCGCTCAATCGACGATCAAGCTTACACTATCTGTCGATCTGTCTATACGGTACCGCGACATTAAACCGGCGAGCAAACTGTACGACCAGATCTGTGAGGTACGGTGGACCTGGACCGACACCAGTTGTGCCACGAAAAACGAAAACCAAATACAGGGTACAGCTCCCTTTCAGGAGCTGTAGCCAAACACCGACTGCTGTATGACCAGTATGTACTGCAGTCGGCACGTCTCCTGGATTTCCCCTGTCAGTTCGCGGGGTCTCTCCTGACCCCCGAGGCTCAGGGCCTCAGCGAGCTCACGAACGCCGGGCCTGGCCCGGCATTCGTGAGTATAGATGCTTTTCATTTACGATAGGAATTGATGTCTTCATTTTTTTTCTTCTCCGAGGTTGAACCTCCAAGACAGGCTTGGGAAGAAAGGGAGAGCACCCAGAAGTAAAGGGTGGATGATGAACATCCTGTGCGGTGTGTTGCATTGGCAGAATCAGTTGAAGTGGACATTGAATGAAATAAAGGTGACGGATATGATCTTCGGTCGAGAAGATAGACCGTTTATGGAGACAACTTCATGGGATTGGCCCATTGGAGATCACCAGCCGCTGAGTCGCAAGTGATTCAGGAAAGGGTGGTGTTATTGCTTCTCGTCGATGAGCTCAGAGCCAGCGTTATACGTGTCGTCGCAGAAACTCATACAGTTGGTTTTGCAGAACAGGAAGTCGTTGATCTTTCTACAAAATCTCAAGCCAGCCATTCCGCCTAACACGCATTCGGCCAGCAAAAGATCAATCTCAGGCTTGATTTCTTTACTGTTGTTCTTGTCGATAATTTGCACAACGACAATGTCCCCCTGTTATCAAACGAGGGGACCGTGATTATCCAATAGAAGCGACCGTCATTATCCAATAGAAGCGCGGCGAGGGTGCCATAGTGGAGGTGAGCTCCTCCAAGCGCCGCGCTCGACTGCAGAAGCCGAGCTACAAAGATGTGTCTGAGCGGTCAGACAAGACCCAGGCCAACAGCACCCGGAATGTACATACACAGATGGTGAAGCTTTCTGGCAGGGTTGCAGTCCGGTCCTCCCATCACTGTGCCAGGTCACATGAGGTCACATGAGATTGCATTTGTAAAATGAACTAATACCACCAACCATCCTAGCCCAGTCTAACAAACCTGGCCAAACCACAGCTGGCCCAATGTGTACTAGTTTTTTTGGCAGGTGGTGGGGCAGGCCATGGTGTTGCCATCTATGATTCCACTTGGCTTACAACACACCTTGGGGTTTAACCCAGGCGTTTTTGGCCCAACCAGGGCAAAAAGTGGGCTTTTCAGGCCCTCCGGACCACTGCTTCAGTCCATAAAAAGACACCACCTACCATGGAGGAAAAGCATGCCCAAAAAATCATCCCACAACTCTAAGATTCTCCCCCATCCCCCAAAAAACTCCAACATTGCTACCCCCTCAGCCAAATTTAACCCCTTTTTCACCAAACCAAACCCAACAATATCCCTGATGCAATCACCTATCTCCCCCAATCAAGAATTTGAAGAAGATGTCTTATCAGAATATTCCACCATCAGTTACCCAGACAGGTCTGATTTTCCTGAGGTTTTGTCTGAGCTGGATATCAAGGAGGCCATTGCATCTTTGGTATCTCAAGGAGTTACTGGAAAGGAGATCCACAAGTTTCTTCAAGGTGATTGTGGATTGAAGATTTCACTCAGAACACTCAACCGCAAGCGGGCAGAATGGGGCCTACGAAATTGCGACCTTCCGAAACCACCAAAGAACTCAAAGCTTACCCCTGACGTAGAGGCTTCCCTCATCTCCTCTCACCAACAGGGGTTCAAAGTCTCAGAAATTCGCTCCCGCCTCCTCAGTGACACTGGCAAAGATGTGTCCCACCGCACCGTTGAAAGATACTTGGCCATCCTGGATTTGAAACTGAAGAGGAATGACCTTGCGGACGGGAAGGTCACCCGGGATGACGTGGTGTGCCTCATTGACCATGCAAGAAAAGAATTACTTGCCACGTCAGCTGGTTATAGGAGGATGAACAACATCTTAAAACAAGAATACAAGATACATGTACCCCGGTATGCTCTGATTTTTTACCAGCTTATCTGATGTTTGATTACTGACCATCAATCCTTTTATCCCCATGTAGTCTTCTTGTATATGAAATCTTGAGTGAGCTGGACCCACAAGGAATGGCTGACCGTCTGCGGCATTCTTGCAAACGGAGGATTTTCAGAACCCATGGACCCAACCATATCTGGTCAGCTGATGGACATGACAAGTTGAAACCATTTGGAATCACAATTTATGGTTTTATCGATGCTTGGTCCCAAAGGATTCTAGGGATGTATGCTCATGTGACCAACAATGACCCATTGCATGTGGGAGTATCCTTCCTACAGCTTGTCGCAGAGGCAGGTGGAGTACCACTTACAGTTACTGTAGATCGTGGGACAGAGACTGGGGAAATGGGGACACACATGATTGAACTCACACAAAGATACACCGGTATCACCTTTGAAGAAGCCCAGACGCATATGCACCATACGAAATCCACTCGAAATCAGAAAATTGAGTCATTATGGTCCAGAATGATGAAAGAGCACAACAGGCCGCTCATTGACACCATTTGGACACAAATAGAGGAAGGAAAGTATGACCGGGATGATGATATTCAAAAGTAAGTTGTAAATTCATCCCCTTTCACATTTCTAACTAGCTACTGACTTCCCCACCATTAGACTACTTTTTCTATTCCTTTGGATGCCTGTGGTTCAGAAAAGTGTGGACCGCTGGGTCACAATATACAATGCTTCAAGGAAACGCAAGGACAAGTTAACAGAGCTTCCAACAGCATGCTCCCCAAATTTTTCATACTCAACCCCCGAACACTTTGGTGCAACAGATCAATTGATCCATGTTCCCCAGGAAGACACAAATTTCATCTTGGAAAATACTTACCCAGAGAGGGATGCAATGTTCACCCACACACCAGACTGGTTTCATGATTTGGCCAGTTTGATCATGCAAGAAATGGGTTTCCATTTTGATCAAATGGCCCCAGGAGGGGTCTGGGCCATCTTTGACGAAATGCTCCCATACATACAAGCGAACATACCAAGTGATTACATCCCCAACTCATCTGTCAACAACTCAGCAACACAATCTTAGTTGTAGAATCATTCATATACCTTTACTTGTGCATATATTTTAAGATTCCCCAAATAAAACTTTATTGGATGGCTTTGCCTTTTGTCCATTTCTTATTCATGCACATCTTCTTCTGTATATATTTTATCATTCCGCCAGCAACTTTATTTGATGGCTTTTCCTGCTTCCAATTATTTATTCATATACCTCTCCTGGTCCATATATTCCATCATGCGCCCGGTAACTTCATGAGATTGCTTCAGCATATGTCCAAACGTTGATATACTTCTTTTTGTGCATATATTTCCTCATCATACAGGAGACTTATTTTGACTGCTTTGCCTGTTATCAATTGTTTTTTTTTTGGTGAAATCTCTGGAGAACCCTACCTAAGTTGCATGATTTTGTTACTTTGGACTCAGTCGCAAATTTGGTGTAAAAAAAATATTGATGATCATGACAACCAGAAGACTACATACATTAAATTTGAACATGCCTGGGTGATTGCGTGAGTACCTAATAGTTTCCCAGCCATGGGTATTGTGGTTCATAAGCAGCGGCCTGAGTAGTTCTGGAGTATGAGGGAAGAAAGGCCTCAGCGTCCATCAAGTAGGTCTAGGCAGGCGGTAAATAGATGTAGTGTCTGGGACTTTTTGGCATATCAAAATTTTCTGGGGTGATTGGGGTTTGTCCACAGATTATGTAGAAAAGTGGTTTGTTGTATTCAATTGGGATTGATGATCAGAGTTTGGAATTATGGGAAAGTGATCAGTCATTCCCAGTTAATGATCAGGCTAGTCTATAATGACCTGGGGTTTGTTGAATACATATGTAGAATGAGGACAAATATATATTTTGTGGAGTACGAAAGGGACCAGGGGATTTCAAGGAAAATGAAAAACAGAATTTAGTAGTTTTCCACAAGAATTATAATATGAAAACCAATTGAGTTTCTTCTTTGGTAAGGGAAAGCTGTTCACTAAAAATGGGTTATGTGCATAAGTGGTTGCATCATCTAACAATTAGTGCAGGTGGGAATAGATTCAGATTGAGTGAGGGGTTGCACCATCTGGATGGCAAAAACTGGGGGACTAGTATGAGCACTTGGCTATTGTGGTGGGTAGCACACCAACAGGTTGATACTTATTCAGTGTGTACTCGGGGGGTTTCAAAGTGCACCTACAGGAAGTCTTTCTGGATTGGCACGGGCTGTTGGAAGTGCTGGCATGCTCATGAAGTTCAACGAATGTACTTGGGCTCCATGTGCGGGTGTGAGTCATCTGTCCAGCTTGGGGGCCAATTGAGAGAAGGTTCAAATGGTGACCACAGGGGGATTTAACCCCACCGATGTTATGGAATACTCCTGGGTTCCAGTTGGGAATCTTTAAATAAATTCTTCAACCTATGAGAACTAATGAAATGGTAAAAATGAATCAGTCACATGAATAGGGATCAGACATGGAAAGAAAGGGAAAAAAAAAGAATTATTCTTGTCAATACCATCATAAGTGTGGGGACCATCTTTTGGAACTCACTTGGACATCTGTTATGCTTGGGCACCATGTCTAGTGGACTTGTAAATTTCTCCTCAGGGTAGACACTCCTCTGTGATCTTCATATGCATTTCTGGAAATTGTGTGATTGGCCTTGCAATGAGTCAATGCCTAAAATCATGACCACTCTCACAAACATCAATGAATGAAGGGGGGTGACACTCTGGAGAAGAATATATTTCTTGCCTCATGATTGTTTATGTTATTTTCTGTTCAATTTCAAGTTTGTCCATGTCACCTTGCACCTGCCAAGAGCAAGAATGGGGACAGACAATAGGATGGTATGGGCTGTTTCATGAATGTCCCCAGGGGCCCAAAGAGGCCGTTGATTGGGGATTTCATAGAATTGAAGTCTGACAAGTTTCCCATGGAATTTGCAAGGGAGCTTGAGGATGAAGTTCTGATTACTTGGCATTTAATTGTGAAGGACGCACTCCGGGGACTTCAAAGAATGAATCATAAACAACACATACGAAACTTGCAAGTTCAAGAGGTAGAGTGCCTGAAAACAGGCAAGGCAGTCCACCCGTACCATACATTCTTGCTCCAAGAGAGGGGCCCTTTGCCCTGGTTTTGTGTGTGAGTAGCACACACGAGCATTTTGGTAGACTGAGGTGATCAATTGATGATGATGTTACCAGGAACATCTTCAATTGTTTGAGGCTCATGAGCAGCCGCATGCGTTTAGACTGCAGGCCCTGAGGAATCTGAACTTTTGGTTCAGATGACTGAGTGGGTTGGGCTGTCCCCAATATCTTGGATAACAAGGTGTGTGTATGCATGCAAAATGAAATGAGTCAGTCAGAAAACACGATCAAACATCATTAGGAAACGAGGCAGAAAGTGAGCGCGGGGTGCGTTTATTGGGCCGAGGAATGAGCAGCAAGGAGGCACAGATTGGATTGGACATCAAAATGTTCACATGTGATTTTATAGGTCAAATGACCAAAGTCATTTGCAGAGGGCAAGTTGGCCCAAGATGCCCTCAGATTGGCGGAGGGGCATGCATCTGCAAGGAGCTCAAAGAAAGACAAGACTCCTGCACAGGGAACAGGCCAATAGAGTTGGGCTGGAAAGCCTGGGACTACAGAATTCAAGAAAATTATTAAGGACAAGACGGACCGGCGGGAAGATCACTTGGCACCGACGTGATCACATGAGTGTCAGTGAGAAATGTCCCTGAGGATGAGGATGCTTCGGGAACTCACCATAGCATCAACGTACAACGATTTCCAACAAGACCAAGTCTTCGATCAGTGCGTCCACCTCATTCAACACCTGTTTTGTCCATCGGGGCTTGGTGGACCCACGTTGTGGAATTACTCTTGGGATGAATAGAGCTTGGGAGGGATAGGTGCTTTAATGGGCTGCCTCTCTGATAACAAGAAAATATAAGAGTATGGACTCTTAAGGAAAGGTGTGGCTTTGGAGATTTCTTGAGGATGGTATGTCTAATGTTTCTTATGTTTACTAGTCTAAATATACTTGTTCACAAATCAAGGTATCCCAAATGTTGATGGGCAAATACCTGGCTAATAATGGGTGATCAGTTATCTGAATTGCTGGGGCAGGGTCTGATGAGGAACAAATGAAGAGGAAAAACAAAGCTCCTTATATACAAAATTCTGGGGAGTGGCCAGCTTGTGGTTGGAATATAAGTGGAAAATTCTATGAGAGCATGAAACAAGAGAAAATATATTTATCCATAGAAACAGGGGAAACAAGCAGTGGGAAAGTCCTCCCAAGGTTACTAGTATGAAACAACTAAGGGGTGGAATATTCCATGGAAGAAAATAGGAGGAGATAACTGTTTCATGGGCAAGGGGATTGTTACTAGTGTGGAACACAAGGGATAAGAAGAATGGAATATGTTTGGAGGGGAATGTGTCTCAGGGCTGTGGAGTTTCTGCTGGGAAATATTATTATCCATGGGGTCTGGGCTTGAAGGGATTCCTGATTGGTTTGGGGGTCTGGGGAGCTTTCTGGGGTGTCTTGATCCTGTGATTCCTCTGTGATTTGTGCTATTGATAACTTTGAATTTTTCAGGAGTGGCTTACCACAACGTAGACGGTGATGCCTTCGCCCTCGGTAATCTTGCCTGGGACCACGCCGATTGACACTTGCAACAATCTTCCGGACTCTCTTACGAAACCGGACCAGCTCTTGGTGCTCCACCGCAGTCGCCAGTGCCAAATTGACACTCCGTCAGCGTTGTTTTTTGCAACCCCCGAGGGTGAGCGGTGGGATTCCTAGTTGGTCAGAGTTTTTTTGTGTGCCGTTTGAAATGTGAGTCCAATTCAATTCGCTTGGTTAGCTACATTGGCCGTTTGCACATTCAACCCCGCAATCTTACCTGCCATGGAAGATGCATCTGTTTCATTGGATGCGCAAGCAGTCGAGTTGATGGTCGACTTGGAAGACATATTTGGTATAATGATGTGAAATTCGAAGGGAACAATAATAAGTTAATACGTGTCTGGACTGTGGATCTTTTGCGCCAATGGATCCCGCGTATAGCTCTTTATGACCCCCCACACTGCACATGCCCAGCCCTGATCGCGGTGCTGTAGGATAGAATCTGCCGTTTTACTTGCATTGACGACGCGGTCTAACCGGCTAGTGGCCCATTCAGACTCCATTGTCATGCTGTCTTCTTGAGGATCCAAGCAGGTTGTACATATCAATCCTGACAAGCGTGTGTGCAGGGGCATATTATTCCGGCCTGTTCGACTCAGGTTGATCCATAGATGAATGAGATTATAGGCTGACTTTGAGTCCTGTCTGGTTTTATTTTCGTTGAGATTTCCCAACTCACACTTGAAAAGATCCACAAACTCTTGAATCACCACCATCAGTATAAAGTGAACTCCGTGGGATCAGCCTTTCCGTCCTCAACAACTTCCCATGAAGAAGCACTATCTCGTGTACGATCAATCCAGTCGGGCTCCGATGTATCTAATCAATCCAGTCGGGCTCCGATCTATCTAATCACTTGAAACCCTCCAAGCCAAATTCAGCTTGGATAGCCAAACACGATCTCCAATCATTCAATGGGACAAGGCCGATTGACCTAACCCTGCACCTTCTCCAACCTCGAGCTGCAATGAACATCTTGGGCCCAATCATCCAATTTTATCACTCTGAGCTTTCCAAGTCTGGCGATCGGACAAAGCTGATCATTATCCATGATGAGCTCGAGCTCAAACCACTTGTGGTTCAAATCAAACGGCCACTTCATTCATCAAAACACAAGGGCCCCCACGGCCTTGGGTCAGTCTTTGCCAGTCTCAGGGCCTACTCTCCCCAAAATCTATTTCATATCGGCATTGGCATCGGTCCGGTTGTCTCCAACCCGAGCAAGGATCCTGGAAAAAGATGGGTTCTCAGCCCACTGACTCGGCCTGAGGTCAGAGTGTGCTCATGGGACGTCAAAGATTCACCCTCTTTGAATCCACAACATCGAAGATCAGTGGTCTTGGAAGCATGGAAGCAGATCTTGGAAATCATCAGAGACTGATTATCGAACCTTACATGATTGAGAAGAAAGAAAATCAAGAGAAGGTTTCGAAAGTAGCTCTCGTACTCTTTCCTTCGTGCCAAACTGTTGAACGGTCTGGCAAGTATCTCCATACGCCCGTTTCATTCCTAGAGTTGGATCGTTGTTTCTGATCCTAATTTCGCGCGTCTGAACCAAGACCTCATTGGCTTTCCAAGTGTAATTTTGACATGAGTATTGCACACTCAATCCTCACATTCTGCTTTCAGTGCAGCATATGTACCCCTTCTGAAAGTAGTGGGAGCTCAAAAATATTCCTTTGCTATTTAAAAAATTTCCCTCCTGTATGCAAAGGCCAACTGCCTATATGTACACATACTTCATTTAGTATAGCAACTTGAAAACCGGTCTATCATGTTGCTCCATCCCACCACACTGGTCATTTATGAAGAAATTTTAACACTCATCACAAGAATGCCTTGCAGCTCTTATGCTGCCTCTTTTTCAAGATGCAAAACCAAGAGATATAACAAAAAGATAATTAGTTTGTGAGCAGAGTCAGAGTACGAAACCACCACTAATGAACATAGATATTCAAACTTGACCGGCCAAATTTAATTTTAAATACACTGACATGGTGTTGGACTGAAGGATTCGGACAAAGCTCGTGATGACTGGTACAGGACGGCGAACCCCCCCCCCCTAAATCCTAGTATTGGATAAACCCCCATTGACACAATCTGATGTAGCCACTCATGGACTGCCTTCAAACCCACAGCACAAACACCACCTCCTCACTAGCCTCTTGGAAGAATTTCCTCAGATGTTCAATCCTGGGCATCTGATTGCCACCAACCACGTGGACTCAATCATCAACCACTGACGGTCACAGAAGTAGGATTGCCGGCATAACGCCTGTCCCGTGGGCCAACAGTAGCAACTGTTGAGTTGTTAATGATAAGAATGTCAGCATTAATTATACAAGTCAAGGAATACAAAGCCCACCGTCCCAAATGTATTATCTATCTCATTTTGGGTGTTAAAAACCCTTTGGGGAATGACACAAAAGGAATGATCATCTGAAGATGCATTAGGCATTCTTCCTGCTAATAGTGTTGAGTGTGCACCTGAGAAATGCATCAGTTGGTGATTCAATGTCCTCATTGTGTTTGATCCAATGAGCCATTTTTCATGAGCATTCCAAAAGATATCTCATCATGCTATTGGCAAATCCTCCTGATGTGCCCCAAGCATGAGTTGCTTGTTTCCTCAATACTTATCCACATTTATCCAGATCATTATTGAATTTGTGTGGTCTCCCTCATAAGATAAACATCAATATCAATATAATTATTCTTGTGTGATTGTGTATGTTGTTGTCCTACGTCATTCAAAAATCCCTCTAGACATATGAAAGATGCCATAAATGGGACACACAGAAACCCACAAGATCCCCATGAGCAAACTGTGTGTTGTTGAAGCTTTTCTAACCAAGAGCCTCTGAATCTGCATCTTTCCAATGAGAATAAAGATCCTCCCCAAAGGTCACTGCTGTCCCGCCCAGGTGTTCTACATGCTCTCTGACACAATTCTCACAGTTGTGTAGCATAAAGAATAACAGAGACTCAAATGGAGCATGACCACTCAAGATCCATATCCAACATCACAATTTCCACTTGTGATAGGCCAAAACCCATCAGTGCTCTATTGTGGTGTTCTTTATGCATTCTTTGCATACAAATGTTCCATTTCAGTTGAATCCATTCAAGTCTGAACAACATTCCTGCTCAAATTTCACTAACATACGAGTGGTAGGACCTACCGTTTTCTTTGAACCTGCTGCTCCAAAATTGTATCTGACCAGAATTTATCATGGTAACATCCAAAAAAAATGTTTGAAAAAAGTTAAAATTGCTATGCACCATTTGGGATTGAAAGTGACCGAGTGAATTCTAGAATTCCCTTAATATTTCCCTCAATCATTTTAGTCCACTTTTCCAAGCTGTTTATTGACAGCACACAAAAACATGAGTTTGCAGGGGCCCCAGGAACACATTCCCAATCAAAACAGTCTCAAAGTCTGAAAAAGGGGGGTTGAAAAGACACATGATCAATACATGAGAGGGGAATATCAGACCAGCTGAATAGATATTTTATGTGATTCCATGACACATAATTTTAGATAAAGAATCAAGTCATAACAAGGGAGTTAAGGTATACAAAGAAAAAACAGGGGTGGGATAATAAGAGAAGAATACAGACACAACAGGCTATTTGGAATATACACAAAAAAAAAAAAAAGGCAAGCCAAATGCTTTTCTGGCTCTCAAGGGATTCAAGGTATACAAAGAACAATAAGCTGCAGGATAATGAGGGAGTAGAATAAAGACACAACAGGCTATTTGAAATATGCACAGAGAAAAAAAACAAGGGGTAGATCAGAGGAGGTGACCAGAGGCCAGGGAACCAAGGGAGTCATCAAGCTGCATTTCTGGTTCTGACAAGGTCAGCCAGTGAACCCTGGGGTTTTGCCCATTTCAGGTCCACTGCCTTTCCCAACTGAAGAGCTTCACAGACTTCATTTCCTGGGTGGCAGATATGATCCTTGAGAAATTGGGCAATTCCATCACTACTGGTGTTTCCATCAGACCAGGAGCTGAAAATGGTCATCTAGTCAATACTTGAGAAAATGTGAGATCAAAATGGAATGTGTCACTTACTGTGGATCCATATCAATGATCTGGGGATCAGTCAGGGTTGAGCCCACCCCCTGCAGGTCACTGACCAAGTGCTTTCCCATAGAATTATTGTATGACCAGTGTGTGAAAGCATTCATGAGTTTGAATAAATCTAGGTCCATTCCTGGCTGATTATTGGGTACTGCAAAATTGTCATTGCTGGAATATTTGACATAAGGACCATCCAGGAAGGCTTCCAGGAAGTAGACATTGGTTGGTGAGTTGATTGGGCCATTGGCCACTACTGCATGGCGCACCAGCTGATCAATTGGAAGGAAAACAGATCAAGGGAAATTAACAAAGAATCCTATGTGTGGCCTGTTTAAAAAATACCAAATTAAAATCACTTGCCTGAATGGAGCCTCCCTTGTTCTTGAGCTTGCTCCTCAAGTATTCACAATGGCTGATTTCCATCTTGAATTGAGCCAGGAGGTGGGAAAATCCTTCATACATCAATGCATCAGTGGCATGTTGGTCAATTGATGGCTCCACCTCATCCAACCTGATCTTGGCTACCCAATGATTGATATGTTCAATCCCATCTGCAACCTCTGTCTTCACCTCAGCTGCATATGCAGTCCTCATTCCACCACTTCCAACTACTTGATTGAGGTGGACCTTGTAGTTGATGGGGAAAGTGATGCCTTGTATGCCATTGGAAAGCTGGAATCTGGTGCTTTGAGGGTCAGAGTTGGGGGGAGGATGAGTGGTAAAGAAACACAATCGCTGGCCAAGAATCCAGGCTGCAGATGAGCCCCCAGTAGAGGAACTTTGAACCCTTTGACTGAGCCTTCCTAGGTGAGATGTGAGATTGGTTTGCTGGGTGGCTGGCTTTGAAGCAAATTTCCCCCCAAGGGCCCATTGTTGTTGTCTGGATTTTGGAACACTTCCCTCTGGTTGGGTATTCCTTCTCTTCATTGGTGGTGGAGATTTGGATGTGAGGACTCTTTTGGAAGACTTGGAAGCTGTGCGGATTTTTGAAGAGGTGAGTGGTGGTTGGGGATCTGAAGAATCTGAGTGGTGGTACATCAGGTCTATCACCAGTTTTTTTCGGCTGGTGGTCTCTTGGATGATGTTTTGGAGGACTGTTTGCGAGGGGATTCTTGATATTCCTTGGCAGAGTGAGAGAGAATCCCTGGGGAAGTATGGGAGTGATTCGATCTCGGTTTGTTTAATGATTTCTTCAGAAAAAACTTCCCAGAGTTGGTAGCAAAGGTTCTCATAGAGGGAAGGATCTGTCAGGATGGCCGTTTTTTTGCAACAGAAGAGGCCTTTCTTCTCCCACAGAGTTCCATCTTGGTACAGAAATAGTGAAGACTCTATTGTCTTTTTGGACGGTGGTTTGCTGGGGTCCTTCGACTTGCCCATTCGAGCCTCTTTGGCAAGGTGACGGGAATAAGCATTGGCGCCAGCATGGAGGGGGCTTGGGGATGATTTGGAGAGGAATAGGGAAGGACGAATTGGATTCTTTGGAATAGGCTGATGAGATGGCAGGAACGCCTTTGGTTGTCTGGAGATTGCAGTGAATGGGTTTGTGAGGATTGGTTGGGTGGGTGGTACATGAGTAGAGGGACCGGCTGATGAGGTTGATTGAGAGGGGCGGTTCAGAAAGCCTATGACACATGGCTCACAGATACCACGTAAGAGCTCTCCTTGTGTCCATTTTTTACATTGGTCACAAAGAGGCATTGCAAGCTAGATTGGGGGGAGGATTAGATGAGGTGCTGGGGGATGTATTTTTAGAAGAGTGATGAGTGGGCAATGGGGGAGGTGATAAAGATTGGAGGAGGAGATATGCCCCATGGAGGGCCCCCTTTTATTAGAATTGGGATAACTGTTGGCTCTGCAATGGCCAATTTGTCACCCAATGAATCATATTGTGACTGGCCTAGGGCCAATTCATGACAACCTTGCTCAGTTGGAATCTCAACCAGGCTGGTGGCCGCTGGGGCCAGGCCAATGTAGCTGTGGCCAGTCTGGCTGATGCATGTACATTGGGGCTTCCTTCCCCTCATTCATGCCAAAGATGACCCAGAATGGCTGGGCCCAGACCACCTTTCAATTTGGGAACTAACCCCCTCACTGGCCCAAAAGTGTGCCCTTGAGTGGCTGGACTGGGTCACCAAGGCTCTATCCTGCTCAATGTGAATGTTACCCAGTCCAGCTTGGGCTGTACCCACTTGGAGTGCTTGGGTTGAGGTGATCCGTTTCTGGGATGCATTCGGGAGGCAAGGCGGCGTGGCCAGGCCATGCAGTGAGTCCAGGCACAGTAGCTGGTTGCAGACGCTTATCTCTCGCACAAAGACTCCTGCCCTCACCTTTTGTCGGAGCAACTTGGGAACTGACTTGGTGACCGTGAGTACCCCTCCGCAAGAACGAACCTATCCCCTCGGCCCAGATCTCGTCATAGGAGATTGTACTGCGCCATTGGATGACCAAGCCGCGGGATTTCACACAACGCTTTCAGGTCAACAAGCCCGCGGCGTGATAGATTGGCGAAAACCGCAAGCGACATTCATTCAATGGGCTCAAGAGGATGAGGGACTCTGTCTCGTTGAGGAGGAAGAGGATGGCGATCTTACATCAAACTCCCGGATCATGAAGCAATCCGCAACCCTCCAAAAAGTCAATGTGACTTCTGTCCATCGCGAACAAGGTAACGTAACGTTTTTCATGCTCATTTTCAACACTCCAACGTCGGCCGGAGGCGGCGAGCATTAGTACTTCACCGACTAGAATCTCATAGCGAGCCCCAAGCTTACATACGGAGACAAGGTTACGTTTTCTGTTGCTCGGGCTCAACTTGCAGGTTGAAGCCTTCGCATGAACCGGGCCAGGCCCGTCGTGGGTGAGGGCGATGTGGCCCTGAGGCTCGGGGGTCGAGAGAGACCCCGCGAGCCAACAGGAAGAACGCAGAATTGATCCGGACTGTAGTACCGGAAGGTACAGCAGTCCGTACTGAGGTACAGTGTCCGAAACCGTCGGATGCCCTGTATTTGGTTTTTGTTTTTCGTGGCACAACTGGTGTCGGTCCAGGTCCACCGTAGTGAGGCATACAAAAAGAACACGCGTGCTCGACGATTAATGCTTGAAGATGCGTTTTGGTCGGCTAAACACGACCCCAACGTTCCTATCGCCAAGTGGATTGCTCGGATACGGAACGCAGCATTTGATCTCACGAGCGTTAAACTGACTCCAAATGATCAGCAAGTCTGTGACAGACTACTTCGGGGACTCGACAATTCCTGGAAGCCAATCCGAGACCACATCGTCTACTCGCCTAACGAGGTCTCTCTAGACGATGCAATTGGCGCTCTGGAATCGCATGAGGTGTCAACTCAAGTTTCGACCGATCATTTTGATGCCTCGGCCGCTGCGACGAAGGCTAAACCCAAGCTGGGCTGCTGGAATTGTGGTCAGAAGGGTCACCACTCGTCAAAATGCTCGAACCCCTCTCTCAAAAAGAAACCCACCGCCCAAGCGTCCTCGACTGAAGCTCGTGCTGGGGCGGTTTCCTATGCGACTCTTGGTAACTACTCGGAAGATGAAGAAAATGACGACAACAGCTACGATGACGATGGCTGCGACGTCGTGTGGGGCTAGGAAGGATGAACCCCAGACAAAACATTCTATTCGTGACGAACACAACTCCGGTGCTAGTTGATGGCCAATTCTTCGAATGCGTTTGATTTTTGGATACTTATTCACTGTCGTGGTGTTTACCTGTCCCTTACTACCTCTGGATCTCTGGCCTGATTCAAATTTCCTTTCTGTCCCCAGCTGAGATTTTTTTATTCCACTAATCCTACCTACTTTTAGTGGTCAATTTTTTTTATCTCATTTATTTTAGCATAACTGTAGTTGTCAGCAAGGGGGTGTGTTGGATTTGTGGATATGCATATCCAGTATAGTATGCTTCCATTACAGTTATGCATTTTGGCTTTGTATTTAGTTCTCCTGATATCAGACTCAGGAGCTCTTTCTGCATTGAATACAAACCACATTAGTTCTTAGTGTCAGCTCCCTAGTCACAAGACATAGTCTGTGGCATTCAGTCCCTGCGACCCTGTGCCCCTCAACAGTTTCTGTGGTTGATGGTCCAGTCACTGAATGACTGCTCCCACTTGTTTTGGGATTTGAGGCCTGTATACCATTCATTTGTGTTCAAGCTATTGTCCAACTTGGATCTTTTGTTGGTCAGAAAAAGTATTGCCATATCTTGCCATTTCTTGTTGAAGATGGTGAGTGGTAGTGCCAAGTGGGCCTTCAAATTCCTTCATATTATTGTCAAAGAATACTGGTAGGCCCATGGCTTGAAAAGTGTTGACACTTTTGCATAGACGGGCAATCCTCCTTATTTTATCTGATTAGGGTTCTGATCCGCTTGCGCCCTGCATCTGGCTGTTGTAGTAGCATATCGTACTACAGCTTCCATGAACACCGGTGAACTTGGGGCTGTGCCCTCAGCCCGCCCATTGCGCCCGCAAAAATATCGCCACAACGACGCAGCCCGTCATGGTGATGTTGTGGGTGACGCCCTCGTCATACAGGACCTCGAGCGTTACATCCCGGGGGCGGCGGGCTGACGCCGGGTCATGATATCGGCAACGAGGCGCCGGCACTGTGGTCGAGCTTTGCTTGATCCGTCCCGCTGTGTATAAAAACCGCCTTCCAGACACACATCTCCTCGAAAAGCCAGACGCAACCCCGTCTTTCACAGTTTTCAAATAGTCGCCCGGAAGCGCCCATTCAGTCTCCTTGATCAATTTTTTTCCTGATCATGAAATCAGTCATCGCTATTCTCTCAACCTGCGTCTTACTGCTTGCCTCCGGCTGTGCCGCTGGCGCAACCCCAAGATATTTTCAGACATGCCGTGGTGATGAATATTATACAATGATAACTTGCGCAAAAGACGCGGCAGGAAAACGTAAGGCACACCTTCATTAATTTTTCTACTCTCTCTCTCTCTATCCCTGCATGTGTGTATGAAGATTAATTCGGGTGTAATATCCAGCCGATTATTTTCCTGATGACCAATCATCGAAGGTGGGGCGTCCAGAGTTGTCCCCACTATTTACCTGTCTAAGCGGCTGGAAACCGGCTTGTTGCTGGAATGTGGGTTTTTGACAATCTTGCCCTCAAATTGTTGTGACTACTTCGCGCTTAAAATACTCATATGCATCTCAACTTGGCTTCCCCATTGACCATTCAGGACGGCATCATGCAAAAAAACAACGTTTGTAATGATGCACAGCTAGTCGCTATCTAGACTACTTGATCCTCTTCAGTAGCTTATTTTCACATACAACAGACATTAATTGGGAGGCATCCATTTGTTCCGATCTTGTTGCACCTACTTCCTTAAAGCTTTATGATGTAAAACGAACGAAAAACACCTCGGCCACATATTCTCTCCCCCCCTTGAAAACATCTGCCATGGGCGTTTTCCACTGGCACCATCAAAGGCTGCTCTCAACGTGCATAAAAGAGAGATACTCAAGTTGGCCGGAAAGGCTGGTTTTAGTCTGAAAGAAACGAAGGTGAATGTATTTGGATGTAAACGTGCATAGAGTTGAGAATAAAAATCAATAAGAACAAAATCCCAAAATGAATAAGAAAACCAAAAAGACCAGCCTTTTTACAATAGTAATGAATAAGATGGTAATCTAGAAAGTAAAAGTGAGATGATATAGCAAGTTGGAAAAAAAAGCACAAGGTTACATACATGACAAAAGGAGTGTGGTGCTTGATTGGATATTTACAAGAAGCCCAAATGATTAAAAAATGTTCTTGCGCAGGAGTTTCCAATTTTTCGAAAAGAAAAGATGGAATCAACGAGCCGACAAAGCGCGGCTGTTAATGTGATATGAACAGGCTGAAAGCCAAAGACTATATACGATATCTCAGTGGAGCTCTAGTGGTGTAAATGTGGAATGAGCGGTCGTTCGACGTTTAAGCTGGTGCGAGATGATGTGCTCTTGATAGTTCTCCAAAGGGATTTGGTTTCAGGGCGACTAGAATATTTGCGAGAGATGTTCATTGGATTTGATTCCTCGTCTTGAGGAGTCACGGCTCTCGAGTTATTTCGCGATGGGATTGGTCTCGATGAAGCTGGTTTGATGGGTGAAATGTCCTCATTCATCTCCAATGCTGGGGATAAGCAACCCACCGATGACAATCTTGCTCCTGATGATTGGGATGTTCGAACAGGGATGGAAAATGTACCAGAGGATACGGTGGAATGGGTTGTATCAATTGGCGTCGGACCGGAAATACGAAGGGATCCTGCATGAATCGATGGTGCTTTACGATGTTTGACGAATGAGACCACTGAAAAGGATCGTTTGCGGCCAGCTCGCTTGGGTTCAGGCACAGTGGCCTCTTCAGGCGGACTGAAAAAGCTCCGGCGTGCAGCGGATTGGGCGATACTTCCAGGAGACCGTACGTCAGTAGACGATCCATTACGTGGGCCGAGGGAATGCGGTGCCTAAATAGAAGGAGAAAGAGCAACCCGGTTAGAATGTTTGATCGAGCCGGTGAACAGCCATTTGAGAGGGTAACTTACAGAGAATTGAATCCGATCTTGGGATGAGTAAGAATGCGAGACCTTGTGTAGAGATGGTTCGAAGGATGACCTCCCGCATTGGGCCACATTCACTTGAGAATTACCGCCTGAGTTTTGACTACGTCTGAGAGGGTGAGATGAAGGATAGCAGGCAAATGGGTCATCCTCGTCTACATCACTGTTTTCATGGTCCGAGACAGTGGAGGGTGTAGACCAGCTGTAGTGGGTCTGATGTGATTGATGGGACAAATAATTATGGTGAGTCAAGAAATTTTGGCCTGAAGCGAATCCAAAAGGGCGGTTTGGATCCGTAGCAGGGTCGAAGTCGCATTCTTTGGGCTCGTCATAGACTATTGATGGTTGACGGTAACCGTCCCGGCACTGGAATATTCCTGATGGTGTAACTGTTGAGATAAAGGCGGTAATGCATGAGCTTCAAGAACTTGTAAGGCTCGGGTTGTAGTAAGACTAGAAAGAGAAAGCTTGCCTGGTAAATGATCCTGTTCGGATTGGTACCCCGACTTGTAGGCTTCCGTCGGTGTGGTGGGTGGTGATATCAAACTACAGTAAAGTTCCAAGGCTTGGCGCATAACAATGTCCTCCGGCCGTTGGTCTTTGGGATGGCTTAGTTGATTGTAACATGCTTCCACATCGAGCTGGACGGGAGGAAAAGGGGACACGGTTATCGGGGTAGTGATTCCAGTGGCTTTGATTAATGCTTCCATGCGCTTCAGTTCAGCGGACGAGCGCATGGCTACAGGCGATTGGCATTGCATTGCGAAGATGCGCCTTGATTAGGTGTCGAGAGTTGAGCTTGAACTTGAAGGAAGCAGGAATATATCAATGGTTTTTTTTTGTGAATTTGATTCTGAATTAATGCTGATGCTAATGTGTTGAGGTGTAGTGATGTATGGTAAACCCAGTTGAAGGCTGAGTCGGGATGAGGGCAAGTCGAAGTTGTAGTAGGAAGCGTGTACTCGAAGGTTGACAGAGGATCAGCAGAGGATGGGCACCTTTATATATTCGATACGAAGGAATTAAGGGATGTCGCTTGAGGGTGGATGTTGATTGGAAAACGATTGACAGGCGTCAAAGACGAATAGATGAGCTGCCCGGATGATAGTTGGAAATGCAACGATGATAAGGAATCCAAATCGATGGAAAGATGGGCAAGCACTGCTGATGGAAGGTTATCTTATCAGGTTTAAGATATGGTGATGATACTCACTTTGGGCTGAATCAATCATCCATGGGCAAGAGCATCAAGGAAAATGATATGGGCAATACGAAAGATGAAAAAAAAATTAAAGAAAACTCTTGCTGGCTGGGGTTAGGCCTAACTTGCACTGGTTCAAGATGAGAATTGACAAGAGCGGTCGGAAAGACATGCATGGCAACCTTTTAGCCTATCAAACCAAGAACAATCAGTGGCAGCACAAGTAACGATGGTATCAGGAGGTATGGCCGGTAAACGGCTGATCAGGTCATTTTCTCTCAGCGTGTTGGCTTCACATACTCAGGCCATTTTTGGTTTGGGGTTGGTGCTCACGCTGCTGTATGTGTCAGTTTTTCCATTCAAGGCCAAGAGGTGATGTCTCGCCACCAAATGAATTAACTTATCAATTCTGATGGTGCACGTCACTTGGACCACAGTGAGTTACTAGAGGGGAAGCTATCCTCAATCGGTAGTTTAACGCTGCAAGATGAGGGCTTCAAATGTCAAAGCGCACGCGTCTTTGTTATGATTTTGATGTAACCAAGTACACGCTTATGAGTTGTAAACGTCGATATGCTTGCAGTCCAATTTGCACCTGGGTGACCTGGACTGGATACAAATGCCTGAGGGAGCCTGGAGGCAAGCTGGGTGTGAGAAGCGCCTGCTTCTCGGTTTTCATCGCCGACGAGTTTAATATTCGTTGAGTGGTCCAGACAGGTTCAAAGCACAATCTTAGCTCGGGGGAGCGTAGCTGCTGTCTGAGTGTAGAACCAACTACTTCATTGGGCAATTAGAGTCCAGTGTATCAAAGACTCTCAACAACTTTCGCAGTAAATGCTTATCCCGCGCAACAAGCGACTTATTGTTTCTGTTTTGACATGTCCCCTCGAGCGAAATCGTAGCGCATCGGCATACATAGATGTGAAATTGGCGAGGAAAAATGACGTTTATAATCATACAAGTCAAGGTATCCCACTCAATGCATGATGTCATTGACACAACATGGCAGGAGAGGACCCAAACTACCAGAGGTGGGCAACCAAGAATCAGATGAGTATTTGCCAACAATTGTGGGGAGCTTGACCTTGTTGCTCCAATTGTTGGGAGGTTTTACTCGATGACCTTTTGCCCCGGGGTGTTTCCAGAATTGGGCACCTGCCTTGGTCTAAATTTGGTGTCAACAAATGTGAATTGGAGGTTGACACCAGTGTTAGATTGCATGTCACTTTGTTTGGCTCTGTGAGCCGCTGTTTCTTAGTTAAATGTAGATTTTGGGTCAAAATTTCAAAATGCTACTTACCAAATGTGTATTGAATGACCTGAAGAATCTGTTGCAAAGATTAATTTGTCATCAACTTTTTCTTGTTATTTAGGAGTTCTTCCTACTTATTGTTTGATCTTAGGGGGAAAATGTTGTTCTGATCTTAGGAGGATAATCTTGTTGATCAGTAAGAACAAATATTACAAGTCAACTCTTGGCACTTTCATTAGCAAAAAAGGTACATGGCTGGATTGAGGCTGTGGAAACTCAGGAAGATTGAAATTTTTACAGTGCTCTGCACTTTCCCCTCAAGAGGGAGGTAGACACAAGACATGTATGAATGCCCTCAGGCTTGATAATGTGTGAATTTAGGAAATTCATGGTTTTTGGTTGCCCACCATCAATAGGAGTACCAGTAGGTCCAGGTAGCTGGCCAGGATCCTGGTACATGTCAAAGTCCAAGTTGTTTCATCTACTGAGACCAAAACCAAAAAAAGAGAAACATTGATACTATCAACTTGACAACTATTCAAACATTCTACATGGGTGCATACTCTACATTTTTATATGGAATGTTCAGGATCCTATTACTACATCACAGTTGCCAATAGTACATCATTTCTGGCCAAAAATATTCAAAATCAGCTACTTGTAAATATGATACCAAGAAAACCGTCTTAATTGACCCACAGATGGTATTGATACTAAGGATCAGATGCATACAGCGTCTACCATTGCCTGACAATAAGTTACCCTCTTTATTGCATCAAAGCCACAAATACAATGGGATGTTGATCTTTTCCCCACCTTTTTTCTGCACAATAATGAGATAGAGCCTAGATCATCTTTTAAATCAAGTGTGTCACTACCTCCAAAAGCTGGAGGAGAAAGCTGGAGTTCTGAAGGAATATATTATCACCTTTTTCAGGTGTCTGTCTATATATCAATCAAACTTGCTTAATGCAATCCAGACCCATCTTTTTCATGAAACATGTTGCATATGTCATCATTACATACAATTAGGACTAAACAATAAGATAAGTACAAAAAAGGAGAAAAAAAAACTAGAAGTAAGCATATGTTTTCATGATGCGATGAGATACGATGCAAAATTGTAAAGATTAGGAATGACATCTCTAAGTTACAAACAATGTTATGATAAAAAAACTGGTGCGATTACTTTGTAATTAAAAGAGAAATAATGAACCGTACAACACAGCGGAGAAGGATAAGAACGACAAGAAAACATTTTCAACAAAACAAGAGAATTAAAAGCACAATGCAATTCCGGCCGTAAGGATAAAGAAAATGGAAACTATGATCAAGGGGCTGCTTGGGAAGTATATTACTTGTCATTTGATCATCTCCAGCGTGGTTTGCGTTACTTGAACGAGGATAAGATTAACACATCCCCTGGGTTATCTTTGAGGCAGGAGGGCTGATAGGAAGCTGGCAAGACTAAATTGACACGATGAATCAATTTAATGAATGTAGCGGTTGAGACTGTGGGAGCAAAATTTCCCTAGGTGGTAGGTCCGAGTTACGGCCATAAAGATCAATTATTGAGTTATGAGGATTTTGTCTCTGGTATTCGTCACTGCCTCGAGCCTCCGGCATCGCTACTGGACCTAAAGACATGTGATGATTGTTGTCCTGGAGTCTTGCTACTAATCCTGCCGATGCGCCAAATGGATCATGCCCAGTTGCGTTGGGTGATGCCGGAACTTCTTCATAAACGGTATCCGTAGGTCCAATGACATGCTCACGAAGAATGGGTTGCGACAATTGACGATCTGGAGCTACTTCACTAACAGTACTAACTGAATTTATCGGATTTCCGGACACATGGTTGAGTTTGAAGGCGGTCACCGTATTGACAAGCTTGCGGAATGAATTCAGTGCAAGTGTGTGTTTCGGGGAAGTTGGAGATCCAGGCTGGTCGAGGGAGCCTCGTCGTTTGGTTTGGGTTGAAGGCACAATCGCCGAGTCCCCCGCGTAGAGCGATGTAGAATTGAAGTTGGGACGGCAAACGTCTTGTCGTAAATTGGAATTACTGGGAAACAACTTGATATGTCGTGATTGATCGTGAGCCGGGGTGTTGGCAGTCTGTCGATTGGGCCCCGTTTCTGATGACTTTTTTTTATTGATTTTTAGCTTGAAACCACCTTTTAAGATGCTTTTAGATTGGGGAGTTGGGGCGTGCCAACCCTCTACCTCCCTGACCCTTGCGTCCAGTTGAAGTCCAGGTAGAAACGCAGATGTTGACACTAGTTTGGGGGCGCCAATGTGAGCGGTGGAAATCGATTTCTTTCTGGGAAGTGTTTTTTTGAAGTCGGGCTGCCCTTCAGCATCTAGCGTGCGCGTCTTTCGCAATGCTGCGTTCGCTGCAAAAGCTTGGGCTTCTACATCTTGAAAGAGTATCGATGTGACAATAGGACGACGCGTACGCAGGTTAAAATTGCTTGGGCAGGTTTGTGTAGATTGGCCGTTGACGGAGTCCGACCCAAACGTATCGAGGTCTATCAAAGTGATTTTTTTTTTTTTGATCAGATGGGAAGTTTAGCGTTATTGATTGGGATTCTATCATATTTTTGATTCTGAATGAAATGTGAATGGCACGAGGAAAATTGAGACATACCGGCACTCGCAAAAGACAAGGGAATGTAAGAGTGCCCCACTTGAGGAGAACGCGCAATGGGGTAAATGGGGGGCGTCAAAGGAAAACACAAGACATCAGGGCCATCTGATGAGGAGGGAGATAGCACCTGGTTGTGGACATTGCGATTTTCACGGAGCGAAGTTCCTTCAAGTGAAAGTGGCTTGTTTGAGGGTTGAGGGGGCGTCACCCCACTACAAGAAGATCGAATTCTGGCGGCGGCCTTAGCCTGATCGAGGCGCTGCTGCAACGCACTAGAACGAGGGGACAAAAAACAAGACGCAGGATCTTGGCTGCTCCGTGAGCTGTGAGATTCCACCGCACTGACAAATGAAGGTGATATCGCAAGATTGGAGCGGGGTTGGTGGGATGAGAGCATGTGCTCGTAACTTTGTATGCGTGAAGGTGAGAGCGTTTCTGTGGGATGATCGAAAACCTGAGCTTCAGCTCCGCTCTGTCGCCGGGATTGAGCAGATGAAACGAGTTCTTTCTGAATAAAAAATATGTCCTCATAGGCAAGAGTGACAAATTCAATTGGTCGATCTCGATCCACCCCTTGTGTCGGAACAGGAAGATCATCAAGTTGACCAAGTGCAAACTCGAAGACGGAAGAATCTTCGTAAACCGAAGAATTCTCGTAAAAGCTCTCTTCACTCATAGCTTGCCCCACTTTATCCTGGAATAAACGGCTTAAAATATCGTCAGAGGGATCATCAAGGTCACCGAGTGTGGATTCGAAAACCGAAGAATCATCCTGCAAGCTATCTTTGCTCGAAGGGAGCTCTTTGTCAAGCTGAAACATCCGAGTTGAGCCATCATCAGGCACGTCATACTGAGACGATCTGCTGGAAGTATCATCAGATGATGTGGTTGACTCCGCACATAAGGATGGAGATGAGCTGGCCGGTAATGCCTTGAAAATTTCTTGATGAACCCGAAATTCGGCATCGAGTGGGGTTGAACCGGCGCGAGAAATGTACGGATTGACTAAATTGGCTTGGGAGTCTACGGCGGTGGATTTTTCCGGTAAGATTGAGCCGAGAGAATCCGCCTGATTTGGGTGGTTGGGTTGACTTCGATCAAGTGAGCTTTGACAGTCCAAAGGGATTGACATTGCCGCGCAAACAGAATCATTGGGTGGCGCACCAGGCAGCGGCGAGCTTGATTGATGTGCAGGTCGAACTTGTGTATTGCTTGACATTTGAAGAATCTGTTGGGCACGTGCGAAGTGGCTGCCGGAGAAGAGGGCGAATGTTGATTGATTGAAGCAGGGGAAATATGATTAAGGTACAAAGGCGAGAATGTGATTGGAGATGATTTCCGGTTCCGAAGATGAGCTCGTTTTGAGGAATGTGCGGAGTGCTCAAGAAACGCGGTCAAATTTCAAGAGGGAAACGTATGTGGCTGGCGTGAAGGAAATAAATTGTTAGGTAAGAAAAAGGAGCACTGGGAATATTTGTAACTGGGTGAGGGGCGCACAGAGGACCACTTGATACGAGTTGGTCTTCGTTCGTCGTGAGGTAAATCGCCAGGAGAAATCCGGCTGGGTGTGCAGCAATGAGGACTTTCAGCCGGAAGGAGAGAGGCTGAGAGCACGTTGCGACAGGTGAGTTACACGAAGCGGCCGAGTGGGTAGATTCTAGTGGGTTGGCGAGTGAGGGTGAGCGTGGTTCCCAGGCTGAGGCAAGGATCAATGTAAGCTTTGGCGACGCGCTATTTGGTTTTTGTACTTCACAACTTCTAAAGATCTATCTGGATGTATTTGTACTCCGAGAACGATAACATGCTTCTTAGAGGTTCTTGAGGAATGTTGTGGGATTGGAGCGCATAGAAGGCCGACACTTGCTCAGACTGATCAAGGGAACAGATTTTCTTCATTTTGTACCGACAATTTACGAATGCCAATGCACAGAGCTAGGCTAGCTAGCATAACATTTGGGTTGCATAATAAAGGTACATACATCAACACTTATGTAAATTAATCGTCCAGACCTCTCCTAAACCATTGATAAAGGTTGACACATAAATGCCTGAACATAGCGCAGACTCACAGGATACAAGGTTGGTAACTTGGTCATGCTCAACAAGCTGAACACAGTTGAAGAGCGTATGTTCAGTGACAAACAAAAACCTTATCCTCGAGGGGGATTGTCCACCAAGGAAAAAGAATCGAATGAGGCAGTGTCAACGGAAATCAGCAATGAGGTAGATCTACACCGATGTACACCGTTCCCCGACAACGCCGAGTATCCAGAAGGCTCAGGTAGATACGGCGAGTGACTAGACAGCCAGACTTCAGAGGAGACCCAGTATCCCCTGCCCATCAAGTTAGACGGGCAACTGTTGGATTGAAGACCAACGTGGAGGGGGGATTTGACCACGTCGCGCACCATCACGCTTTCTTCTGAGTTTTGTCGCAGCTAGAACAGCGTGAGCTGCATCTTATAAGACGGCTCAACTCATGCCGGATGTTGCGTATCCCGGCAAGAAATACATATTTCAAAGCTGAGATGAGGCCAGTCGTGAGCCCAAGCTCTCCAGATGCTGTGAGCAGGTTTTTTATTATTGGACCCCCCCCCCCCAACCCGCACACAAAGCAAAGTTGGGTTGGGTTAGTGCAATGTTTCCAGCCCAAACATGGCCCAAATCTCTGTTTGTTGAATATGCTCAATGAGAACTAGATGCCACAAAGCTCAAAGGATGGAGTGAACCCAAGTTTGTCCAGAAATTATTTTGCCTTGAGGGTTGGTTATGCAAACAGACTAGTGCCAGTACATTTTGCAAACAATTCTGAAATTATAGGCATTTATGCAAGTTTTTATTTGCAGCATGGGAATCTTGGTCAGAAATTCAATGAAAACCCAAAGCTGTGAATATCAAGTCCTCAACTTTGATGTTTGAGGAAAACTGATTTTCCAAGCATTTAAAAACAATGTCTGGCTTCACCACATTTAATGGGACATCAAGGGGGATGTTTGGATGCTAGTGTGTCCTTGCCTGGGTCTTGGTGGGCAAGCAACTGCAGAGAGAGGCTTGGGCATAATGTCTGACTTTTGGCTGGGACAGGAATGATACTTTGGCTGGGGAGATTTTCTTCAACCTTCCCTCACCACCCACATAACAGCTACAACCCTGGCCATAGTTTGTAAATTTGTTATGGATAATAATAAACATGAAATATATGTAATGTTATAAGAATAAATAAAAATAGATGACAACTTTAGAAAAAAGAAAAAAAAAACTCTATCCAGCAGGAGGAGCCATCAAGACCAAACAAAAGCTGTATTTGAGGAATGGCAAGTGTGGCAGTAAGAAATCAATCTTGTTGGATTTTTATGTCTTGAGGGAGATTGCCTTGATCTGGACTTCTGTTGAGTCCATCACACTCAAGTTGGGCATCTGAAAAAAAAACAATAAGTACACAGGAAAGTACAAGAAAAAAAGAAAAGGACCTTACTTCTCATTTGTTTTGGTGTTTTGTGATGAAGCAGTTGACTGTTGAGGTGAGATTGGCTTTGTATCAATGATTTGATTGGCCAAGCGCTTGGGGTGGGCCCAGCCCACCAATCAAATGTAAGCGCTTGCTAACCTCCTTATGGAGATGAGCCCTGAGTATGCAGATTGCATCCCAAAAAAGCGGGAGACAATCTCCAATCTCTGAAGCTGAAAACCCCAATCACAAAGCAGAGGGCTGAAGCTTGCGCCAAATTCAGCACAATTGAGCTGATGAGTTTGCTCCGGTCACAACTCGGGCAGCTCTTACTTGGAGCTTGGAGGAATTTGGAGAAGTTGAATCTCCTTCCCTGAGGGCTTCCAGTATTGGCAAGCCAATACATGGGTTGTTCTGAGCCTCTGTTGCAAACTGCAATTTGTGCAAAACAACTTGCCAATCAACGGGCTTGCAGTATGTTTTCAAAATTTACCCATTCCTGGGGGTGAAGGTTGGTGAAATGCCCAAACAAAGCTCTCTGCATGGTCTGCCAGAAGTTGTTTTGCAAATTTATTGGCACAGTGTCATCAGCCTCATCTTCTGCTACCTAGGTTTCATAACTTGGTGTAAACTTATTTCACCTTGGAAGTGAATACATGCATTTTCTCTTGACGTAAAATTTTCAGTTCAATTGCCTAGCAACTGTGATCTGCCAGTGTTATGCATAGGGTAGTGAGCGCCTAGATTCAGGCTTGCGGCCCAGCCCAACTTTGGCTTGTGCCAAGATCTGAGCCCCACCCAACCCAGAGGATCAAGCCCCCTGGGCACACTCCCAAGCCCTGGTGGCATCAACGCTGTAACAGATACAATACACTGTGTGTATCATGGAGAATTCTTCAAAGCTGCATGGCCAAAAACCAAATTTGTTGAATCTCCTTGCAAATAAAAGCAGATTGGTCACATAGTTTTTTTTATTGGGGCTCAGATACATAGTGATACATGGCAGATACATGGCAGATACCGTATCTATTTCAGTGTTGGTGGCATCCAGCTAAACGGGACTTGTGATTGTTCCCAGAAAGGCTTGATACACCATATATTCTGGAAAACAATTTTGTGAATCCAGGATTCACTGCACATGTGTGACACATCTGGGGGATCTGCAGTCCAATTCAGGCTGCTGATTGCATCTATACACATGAAAATCTGCAGATTGATCTTCACAGTCCGAACGGTTTCTGTATTCTGCTTGTCAGTAATGGGCCAGTTACATAGTGTGGCACAGCAGAATTCTGTTGCATCTGCACTAACGTAAGTGCACAGGCCACAGAAATGTGCCTGCTAGACTGTGCCAATCTGTTGTTTAGCTTTATTTTGGGCCTGTAGTGGCTGTTAGTGGCCTATAGCGCAGTGTAATGTTGTAAAAACCCGCTAAAATTGCACTGACACTACACAATTGCTGGGCAAAGAGAATGCCACTATGCTAAAATGTTTTGGGCAAAAAGCACTGTTTAGCATAGCAGCCCATCTCTGTGCTTGTAATAAAATGATGTAGTCTTTTTTTCTTATTTTGGGCCTACATTTTTTTAAATTTGGAATTTGAATTTTCTCAACAGCTCAAAATGTGTTCAGGGATCAAGGCTACTGTTTGACCTGTTTAGATTTTTTGCGACTACAATGTTCCTTAATGGACTGGTGATTAATTTTGGTCTTGAAAACACCTCCTTTTCTAGCAGGTATGTCAACTTTATGCAAAAGCCTCTCCAAAGGAGCGCATCTCACAGGGACACCAAGGGAGAGGCTTTGTGAAACTAGGACCAGCGGTGGGCCGCTACGCTTTTGGCCCAAAAAGCGTAGCGTAGCGGCGCTTTTTTTTCATTGAAAAACCGTAGTGTTAGCGGTTTTTTAGCGGGTTTTCGCTACGCTACGCTGCGCTACAGCGCTTTTAGTGGAAAAAGCGGCCAAAAACCGCTAAAAACTGCTGTAGCGCAGCGTAGTGGGCCCTTTTTTGCGGCCCACACGCGTAGCGTTAGCGGTGTCGTGGCGGAATTCCGCTACGCTACGCTAATTGCTAACAGCGATTCAGCTGCGTTACGCTACACTAACCGCTATGGTTAGTGTAGCGGCCCAGCGTTGCTAGGACTGGAAGTAGCAGTGGGACCATAGGGAGAGAGAGCAGAATATTTTCTGTGTGCAAAATCAAAAAGGATACAAACACATCTGAGATGGCTGAGTTACCAGCTATCTGTGTTATGAGCTTTCCAAGTAATGTGGCAATGGATACATATTAGCCAATGATTTTTTTGATTTAGAGGGGAAATATTTCTGATTTTGTCTTGGGATATAATTTCATGAATCATTACAGAGAAGAAGGCAACAGGAACAAAGTTTGGCAACACATCAACATTAATGCAATATCATCCCCTTTTCACCAGCACATGTATAAATAATGGAGGACTTCCCGTCAACATCTGCGGGTCTCCCAGAGTCGGTTTAGAGCCTCGAAATTCAAATTCCTCTGCGAGAATTAAGAGTTTTTGGGTCTAGATCGACTTCTGCGAGGGTCCCAGATCCGACGGGAAGTCCTCCAATGTCTAGGACTTTCTTCTAGATTAATTAATCTAGACAAAGGAATTCCTCTGTTCAGAGAAAATATAAGGAATTATTTGGAATTATTTTGTCACTACAAGGAATAAAAGTGTGTTATGCTTGATGTGATGTTTATCTTGATTTCCTCAATTGAAAACATTTATCTTGATTTCTTCAATGGAAAACAGGATACAATCAACATGAAATGTGGCAGGCAAAGTAAAGATGAGATTTAGGGCCTGTACCATAGGGTTCAATTTTCAAAAATGGGCATTTTTTCCATCCTCTACACAAAAACTGGGAACAATTGGAGAAATCTGGTGTTGAAATTCTTCACTTTCAAGCCAAAGACTAGCTTCTAGTTATGGTCAATTTTGATAATATAAAATTTTGAGCAAGATAAATTTTGAGAAATTGAATTTTCATGTCCTATGGTAAAGGATTTTCATGTCCTATGGTACAGGCCCTTAAAAATTGGGTGGAGAGGATTGAGTGGGTTTCTCATTCTATCTCAGTTGTAAAAAAGCAGGGATACCAGAAGCACTGCTTTCACAAGACATATAATTAATAGCAAAACAGAAGAAAGACAGTGATGAATCAATGTCATGTGTGTAGGGACTTGGAACCCTGTTTTGCCACACTGGGTAGTCCTTAAATCACCGGTATTGGTGTAGTGTTGACAAGCTGTCACACTAGTTTGAAATGTGATGTTGTGTGTCATTCACATTGAGGTGTACAATCCTTGGTCCCTATCCAGTCCCTGGATCCAGGGTCTGGAGAGGGACCAATTAGGATGAAATCCGTAAAATACGGACAACAATGGGGACCGTGGTGGGTGGCGTTTTTTGGGCCGCGGTCCCTAAATGCGGGATAGGGACCCGATTTAGGGACCGCGGTCGAGATTTTTTTTTTATAAGTGAAATTTGGCCTAAGGCATTGCTGACTATGAATCTTAGAAACATCATGATGAGAGAAAACAACTCCAAAATCTACTAGCTCTAAACCGGCTCTGGGAGCCCGCAGATGTTGACGGATGTCGTTCAGTGACAGGTGAGGTTTTCCCCGGTCATGTGACATGTTTAACATACCCTGGCACTAGCCACCCCTCAAACGACAAACCCCGGTGCACTGCATCATCTGTCCGGTTTCGAAAGAAGACGACATCATCGACGATATAATATCTTGACTCGTAATTAGGCTCAGCAGGCGGGAGAAACCAACGAGTGCTCTGGACGGTTTCTATCGAAAACGATGAATTCCATCACCCAAACTGCCAAGGGAGCGGTAAGATTCTCGTTCTACATCCATGGCTCATGTTCGGTTGGTCTACATAATTCCGAGTGAATGATCCATCTGATATCATTTTTGCTGCCTTTCCAGCTCATCGCAGGAGGCTCGTACTATCTCATTCACGCTCATATCGCCAACCGAACTCACCTAATCTCAACATCCTTAAAAGACTTGAGCTACCAATTTCGTGCTCTGGACTCGGAAGACGGTTTCAATCAATTACTGCTACAACCCACGCCATTTCAACCTAAACCTTTGGCTGAAAGGATCAAACTGAATTGGAATCGGTCGATTGTTTCTCTCAGTCAAAAAGCACACCAATTCAACCTTTCTGATTCTACCGACCGATTGATCGTTTTCTTGAAGTCAAAGTTTCAAGCTGACTCGAATCAAACGTGAAATACCGTATTAGTCTTACAATGATCAATTAAATTTTATATATATTCATTTTCGACAATCACATAAAGGTCCTCTCGCTTCAGTCGACACCAATAAGGTGAAGGTGTGATGGTCATCTTACCTTGTAATTTTGACCACTTTTAAGAAACTTATAGGCATGTCATCTAGTGCAGATAAAAGACAAGATGTAGATGTACAACCCCCTTGACCAATAGATTTCCGCTCCACGTGTTGAATACCAGGAGTCAGCTTTCAGGCACAGATCTTCCAATCCAATCATCTTTAATGGCTGCTCATTCTTGCTTATAATCTGGACCAAAGAGGAAAATGTCAAAGGTTGTTACTTTAGAAAAAACTGTGTCCCATTGGTTTTGATGTGACAGACTCAAGGGAAATAGGTGGTTCGGTTTTTGTAAAGCAATGGTGAGATTCTGGGCAAGCAAAGAATAGCTGTGTGGGTAGTTGTCAAGGAACTGCCTTGGATGTTTCTCTGAACCTATTCCAAAAAGATGCAAAAAACCTAGCTTCATAAGTCTCAAAGAAGGGTCCCAAATTGATACAGCATTTACATAGTAAACTTTGAACCTTTACCCACCATCACAAGTGTCCTATAGGGGGGGGGGGTGTAGAAAGCCCCAGCACTTTCAATTCTAAGAGGAAGGTTAGACTTTGTAGTTCATATAAAAGTGGTATCACATCAAAGTGAAAAACTCATAACAAAAAAACAGGTGGAAAGTGAGTGCTCAAGCCTCAATATGTATTCAAAATACTGACTGGGAAAGTTTTGATTGATTTTTTATAGCCCCATGAACAGGGTAAAATTTGCATGATGGTTTTCCTTTACTCTCCTATTTCACCTAGAACAGAGAGTTACCACTTCCTTCATTGGCCAAAAATACCAACAATGAGGTGCTATGTTACGCTGTGCTTTTTGCCCAAAAAGGGCTAGTGTAGTGGATTGATTTTTGCCTAGAAATTGTGTAGTGATAGCACATTTTTAGCAGGTTTTTGCTACTCTGTGCTTTGCTACAGGCTGCTAACAACAACTACAGGAATAAAATTCTGCTAACCAGGTCCCAGTGGTATTTGGTGAGATGAAAGTGTTGGATATTGATGTTCTTTGATCACAAGCACTTTGAAGCAGGTTCCATGAAAATCAGACAGTTACCTGCCAGGCCATCTCTACTTCAGATACTGTCTCCCCTCGTCATCTCAACAAGTGGGCCATCTAAGAAAACTTGAGTGTTAGTGCAGCATAGCCTAGAAGAATTGGTGCTAACTATTAGCATAGCCCCTGCCCCCAGCAGA